CTCTTGTATCATGTTTTGAAAATAACAGGTGCTCGAAAATGTGCTTTAAAATGACGTCTCCCGTGCGAATAGGGCGAAAGTGTGTAAGGGGAGACGGGAATCCGTTCCCAATTTCCACCTACTACCTCCAGCCCCCTTACATGTCTTTCCCCCGCACGAGGCTCGAGACAACTGCTCCTGGCATGGCCGGTAAGAGCCGGGCTCCCGCAAAACCTTTGCTAGGTGGGAGCCCCCGTTTTCTCATAAAAATATTAGAATATTACAACGATAAATAATCAAAGAAGAAGCACCGCCCAATGGGTGGGTAAAAAACTAGTTTATAGAAGGGGAAAATCTATCCATAAACAAACACTACTCATAATCACACAACTCAATAAACACCAAAGATGCCACTCAACCATCGATCTTAGGTAATGGATCATAAGTGAACTTACAAGGTGAACAATAGCACGAGAGAAGACTCTAACTACACCAATATGTAATTAAGAACAACTTTAAAATATTACTTGGGCGATTTTGGAAAGTCGGGGCACTTTAAATGGTTCAGGCCATATATGTCAGGTTGCCTGGTTGAATTGTATAATTGGTGAATACTAGTTGGTAGTGTGCAGACCATCTATAATTTGGTCACCATCTATCCAGTCTCATGTTGAAGTATAATTACCATCCAATCTAACATGACGACATAGTGGATGATTACTATAACATGGTGACGTTTCCAAAGACTTTTGTTGGCAACAACTAACTAGCTTAGATACTACAAAGCTACTTTTTGGGAAGAGGAGGGAGAGAGAGCAGTTGGACGACTATGAGCAATAAAACTTGAAGCAAACTTCTAGAGCAAAGAGACAATCACAATCCAACACACAGATAACTATCTCAGTTATCCCTTTTCGTTTTTCTTTGTTGTTAGCCGAGCTCTCCTCCATGAAGGATTCTCCACAGCAATAGTCTTAATTTTAGTCACAAAGCTCTCAAGGAGTCTCCATAGGAGTAAGGTAACAGTAACGTAGGAATCACCAAACACCCTTGTTCGAACAGTGTTGAAAGAGGTGTGGATCGTAGTAACAATCATCACTTTCATAGAAATTAGGCGCAACCATCCACCTTTTTTTCCCCCGTTAAAAATTTGGCACACCTAGTGGGACACGTGTATTTGGTATGGATTCATGACAGAGGCAGCAAGAAGATGATCGTCCATAAGGTTTTGTGGAGAATGAAAAGTTGGTCAGTGTTGACGTTGACCAAGATGGGGTGGCGTCAAACAACACTGGTGGAGCAGAGGTGCCATCCTTGGTGCCAAACTCATATCCAGGTGAAGCAGTGCCCTGACTTTTCCAAATAATGGAAGAGATTCATCAAATGATGGTTAGACTCCGTAGATGAACAGGTACATCTTCACTTACATAAGCATTTTGATAATCTTGAAAAAAGAATTGATATGCCTGTGATATGATGATTGATAGATATGTTTATGATTTTGAGATGTCAAAGTATGAAATTATGCATTATGCATCCATTGTACCAAAAAGTATTTTGTTGTTGAGAGGCAAAGATTTGGTGAATGAAAAAATTGAAACGGTAAGCAGTGACCAAGTTCATGGTTTAGGCAGTCAGCCACAATTTGTTGATGAGAAAGTTGGGATCTGACCATTTTGACAGACAGTCCACAATGACATGGTCAAAGTAGTGGTCAATCCAACTTGTCATGCTTGACTGATAAAAACGTCAAACAACACATATGCCAATGATGAAATTGGTAGCGAGTTAGATAATGTAAATAAGGACTCACCCCCTACTTTGGCTTCAACAATGTTGCTAGAAGCAAGCAATGCAAATATTTCATTTCCAACAAACACAATTTCTAGTGAAGGAACAAAAACTGAAGATTGCTTACATAAGCCATTGCAAAGAAGTATGTGTGACCACATGCCAAAATCAAAAGCAAAAAAGGTTTGTCTACCTTTATGTGATCCTTTACTGAACAAATTGTCAAATTTTCCAACAAGAGGGCAAATTAGTGTCCCGAAGTTTGGATATGGGGCATGTCACCAACAAATATGGATTTGGGGGATGACATGTCAGAAAACTTGCAAAAAGTTCAACCTACACATGGGTGGAGTAGGTAAAAGCATGCAAAGAATAGACTAGGGGCATCTCACCAACCACAAAAGTTGGATTAGGAGTTATGTCAAGCAATATGCAACATGTTGAAGCCACTCATGAATTGCAAAAATGGTGGACATGGTGGCATGCACAAGCCTCAATATGCAAAAAAAAAAAAACAAATGACTAAAGGTGGTTGTGTGCTAAGTGCAGGAGTGAACAAGATTTTTGGGGCATGGAAACAAAGACAAGTTAACCATGTAGGTGGAAGTAGGAATGCATACGAGCTCGGCTAGAACTCGAACTCTGCTTGAATCAAAATAATCTAGCTCGATCTCGATAAATGCTCATTAACACAACTTGCCAAGCTAAGTACAAGCTCATCTCAAGATGAGCTCGATTTGAAATCATTCTTGTTAAAAAAAATGTATAAACATAATAATTTAAATGATAAAAAGAACACTAGAAACTACAAATAACAACCAACTTCCACACACATCCATATTAACAAGATGGCGTTCATGTTTAGAAGAGTAATTAATCCTTTCACAAGCTCTAAACAAGCCAGCTCACGATTTTAGCTCAACAAGCCACCGAGTCAGGCTAGTTCGTGAGCTTATCAATCTGAGCATGGTCTAGCTCAAGCTGTGCTCGATTACTAACGAGTCGGCTCGCGAGCTGGCTTGTTAAATAACGAGTCGAGTGTCAAATGAGTTTTCCCGATTTGAATGCCGAGTTGCTCGCGAGCAGTTTGGCTCATTTGGTGCCCTAGGTGGAAGTGGACTTGTAAAGTCTAAGTACCCATCCCCTCGAAGTAATGTGAAGAGTAGAACTTAAAGTAGTTTGGGAGAAACCAAGGCAAAGAGGTGCTTGTTGTTTTCCTTCTAATCAAAATTAATTGGGAATGCACGGTGTGCCTCACTGAGAAACTCACAACCAAAAAAATTGATGTCAACAATCATATGAGTTGGTTGGGATAACTCGAGCATATAAGCAGGAGGCCACAAGCAAGAGTGTCAAAATCATACTGGGAACATGCAACCTAACATTAAGATAGATAATGTCACTCCATTGTGTACATATCCTTTGAAATGAGGAAGTCACATGATACATGGATAACTTGTGTGGTTTGATCAATAGAGTTGGCAATAAATGTGTCTTTGGATCCTTAGTTACTCCTAAGGGCTATGACAAGTGGTGATACTTCTTAACTCTTGCCATAAAATTATAGAATATAATAATTAAATAAATAAAGTGGTGAACAAGCCATCCAAGTTGGCTTTTGGATGGTGCAAACTCAAGTAAAAGGACACCATCCGAGCTGGATGGGAGTTTAAATTTATATATCAAGAATTGAGAGTCCTGATAGAAATGAATTTTAATTTATTGGTGGGATAAGATTTAAGAAGATGTGTCCAATGTAAAAACAATTTTATTCTTTATAAGTGAATAAAATATATTAAAAGCAACTTATGATTGGCTATTTAAAAAGAAAATTAAATTAACTAAGTTGTTTTTTGCTTTCTCCTTGGTCTACTGTTTGGTTCCTTGGCCGAGCAGGAGTTGGAAATTGGGCAAGCTCTTGTCGTGTGTAACTACTAACTTGGCCATGAAGGAAGTGGACTCGTTGTGTGGTTTGGTGCCGAGCAAGACACAACAACAAAAGCGAGTGTTTGATTTGTGCGGTCTTGCATCTAGTGCAGTTGGTGTCAAGTTCATAATTTCTTATAAGCTAAGTTGTTGGGGGTATTTGTTTACACCAAAATATTTTTCTCTTAAAATACCACTTGGGTGATTTTGGTCAGTCGGGACACTTTAAATGGTTCGAGCCATACATAGTGGATTGTCTAGTTGGACCGTATATTTGGTAGTAGCTGGGAGTGAGCTAACCATCCATATTTGGTCATCATCTGTCCAGTCCTGTGTTTAAGTATGGTGACCATCCAATCTAACATTACGACCTGGTGGATGATTAACATAGTGATGTGTCCAGAGACTTTCGTTGGCGACAGCTGACTAGCTTAGATAATATGAAGCTACTTTCCAGGAAGAGGAGACAGAGAGAGAGTAGTTGGACGACTCTTGGCAACAGAACTTGAAGCATTCTTCTCGAGAAAATAGATACAATCACAATCCTTCACACAGATAAGTTGTTTCAGTTATCCCTTCCCCTTTTTCTCTGTAGTTTGCGTAGCTCTTCTCCATGAAGGATCCTCTATACCAGTTGTCTTAGTTGTAGCCGCGGAGTTTTTAAGGAATCTCCACAGGAGTAACAGTAAAGTAGGTTCCTTTATATGCATCAAACACTCTTGTTTGAACAGTATTTGAAGAAGCGTGAACCGTAGTAACAATCGTCACCTTCATAGAATAAGACACAATCCATTCACCTGTTTTTCCACCTTTAACAGTAGCACTGTAGTATGGTTTTCACAAATGACGACCCAAATACAACCAATTTATAGACTGCACGAACCGTAGAGTATTCGTGCTCGTGCCCTATCATAATCGTCCTCAATGCTCGTGCGCGCGTGTCCTAAGCATGCTGTGCTGGGCCAGCTCTTGGGCGGCCCTGCCCGATATCCAGGTAGAGCGATTGCAACCGTGCTATTCTCCATCTCAAGGCTGAAGGGCTGAAAGCCCAGTTTCTTCACGGCCCATCTACAATGCTGGTCTCCACGCAAGACCTAATATGATACCTCATCACTCATCTATTGCAGGGATAGTCCGCAGCCTCCCCTTGTGACCCCTGAAATAGGGATGACAATGAAACCCGAACCCGCAGGTACCCGACCCGACCCAGCCCGGTCAAAGCGGGTAAAACCCGTGTTGACCGGGTTCGGGCCGGATTCGGGTTTAAACCCGCTGTCTTGTTGTGCGGGTTGGGGCGGGTTCGGGTTTGGGGGTACCCGCCCCGTGAATACCCGGCCACACCCCTAACCCTAAGATTTTCTAATCACCCCAATCTCCCAGACGCTCCTCCCCTCCGCCCCTCCAATTCTCTCTGAATCGCACGACCCCCCGCCTCCACCCTCCTTCGCGACCGTCGCCAACCGCCCTACTACTCCCCTCTCGCCCGCCGACATCCCCACTGCTCCTCTCCGCCGCCACCCCCCTGCTCCTCTCGGTGACTCCTTCGTCGACCCGCCGCACTCAGTCCCAGACTCCCAGTTTCCTAGACCCAAACCTGACTCGCGTTTCGCAGGTCCGACCTCCACCTCTCGGCGACTCTCGCCCGCCTCTGCCTCTTGTCGACTCCCGCCTTCCCGGATTCCCCTGCTCGTCCTCTGCTCGGCCGGCAAGGGAACGAAATCCCGCCTTTCCCGGATTCCCCTGATTCTCCTCTTCGTCGTTACCGCTCCTCCTTTACCTCGGCTTGAGACTGCTGTTGCTGTGTTGCATTGCCGAGAAGCCTTCCAAGGTCCGGAGATCTTCTAGGCTGCGGCTGCTTCTCCTCTGTGAGGTATAGAGGATTCTTCTAGACTTTTGAATGGAAAAGTAATTGCACAGATGTGTCTTTCTTGCCAAAGGATGATGATTGCTGAGTTGAGATGTCAAATGTTTGTCGAGGTCATATGTTGATAGTTATTGACATTATTGTGCTGGTTGTAGTGAATCAATTGATAGTTATTGAGATGTCAAATGTTGCGCTAGTTGTAGTGAATTAGTTGTATAAAAGAATTGCTATTAGTTATTGTCAAAAGAATTTTCTTCTGGCTGTGAACAGATGTGAGCTCCTATCTTGACAAGCAAAATCAAGTTGTTGTGAATGGATCTGCTATATATGTAAATGATCTTTGTTATCATAAGCTTATTTCTTGCACCTCCCCATGGTCTCTTTCTGTGTGAGACTTCCCTTGTGGTTATTATATTGTGAAGCAGGTTCAAGGAGTAACCAATGGTTTTTATTTATGCTGTGGATAGTCCTTGAAACATCAATCAACATTTCTCCGAGCGTACATAGTGCTTCAGTGTTATGTCCATCCTTGTTTTGCTGCATATTTTGATGTGCAGAATGCTTCGGACAAGCAAGATTTTAGTGGATCTTTACTGTATATTTTGCTGCATATTTTCATGTTCTTCTCCCTATTTGCAACAATGTGGGGATTTCTCCCAGTTTAACATGAACTTTTGGGTTAATAACATGAACTTTTGGATTAGTTTGTGTGTATGCGTGTTTGCTGTTTGTTATAATGTTTTAACTGAAACAAATTTTTCTGTTGGTATTTTACTCAACATGAACTTTAGGATTAGTTTTTCTGCTTCTGGGTGCTTTTTATTATAACTCATAAATCCTTTCCATTTTTGTGTAAGTGCTTGATTTTTATTTCTTGTTAATTGTAATTGTTATTTTTTTACCACAAAAACCCACGGGTACCCGTCAACCCGCGGATACCCAGCGGGTTGGGTTGGGTTTGAGTTTTTCAAACCCAGCGGGTTTTACCCTGGGGTTTTTTGGCGGATAAACCCATGGGTTTGGGTTTTGCAAAACCCGCCCCAACCCGACCCATTGCCATCCCTACCCTGAAACCCTACCCTGGCCGGATATTTTACCGCCGAGGTTGCTCTTCATCGTCTATCGACTGTATTTAATTGCTTCTTTTGATTCTGATGCTATATCTCTCAACACAGAACTGAAAAGCTTACTCCCTCAAGCTCTGCTCTAACCCTCTCCTGTCCTGCCCCACCTTTATTTGCATCTCCGGCCGCCAAGGCTTGTGCATCTCTGCAGCGGCCGCTAGTTCGATCTCTTACTGGAAACACAGCCACAATGCCTACAGTGAGCGTGGGAAGGGACTGTCTCTTCGCTGCCTTAGGGCAAACTTACAGTGAGTTCTCGTTTCCTTCCCAAGTATATCAATTTACAATGACAACGGTACCTAAAGCATATTTTCTCTCTCTTTCTTTTTGTTTGGAAATTGGAATATAGCTCAAGAGAAGTTCGAGGAGCTTTGCTTCAACTTTGGAATTGAGCTCGACGATGTGGTCAGCGTTCGGTTGATTCTGGATTTATTTGACGCTTCACTCATTTTGTAATTCAATAAACAAAATCCACAATGATGATTCGTAACGTCAAAATTCTATGACTTGCATCAGACTACTGAGAAGGCCATTATGAGAAAGGAGTGTCATTTGGAAGAAGAAGCAGATGATGACGAGGAAGTTATCTATAAAATTGAGGTCCCTGCTAACAGGTGCTCGCTCTGTAGCTTTCTGATCACTTTTGCTTCCTTGAATATACCTTTTGGTGATGTTCCTAGAATGCTCTGAACGAGAATAAAATAGCTTGGGTTGCTAGAAATTGTACGGAATTGAGAAATTTAGGGTTTTGGGTAGGTTAGATGAAGGAGAATCGCCACACCAGTTGATGATAAGGTTAGAGGCTAGGCGCCACAACCAAGGGATTGATAAGCCTAAGAAATCACAAGGAAATATCTCTTGCAACTCTTGAAAACTCTTATTGAAATCTGAATACTGAAGGCATGAAACTGAACTACAATCCTTCTATTTTGTAAAGAGGCTAACTCTTCTACACCTACGAAACTGAAAAGTAATCACTATATACTAGGAAATAGATAACACTTATACTTGAAAAAATAAATAAAGCAATATAATAAAAGACTCCTTAACCAACATGGACAGCATTTAAGCATCTCTTCCAAATACTTGTTGGATAGGGATTGTTGTAGGAAATTCCCAATTCTGAAATTCAGCACCAATAAACACGTAGACCTTGCTTGTATAGCCATTTCCACCCATCTTGAATGCTCCTAAGCTCTCAATTAAACCTTCTCGTTTGTCTCTTGACCCGTGGTCCATTTAGAGATATAAATTGAACTCGAATAAGGTCATGAGGGGTGGCCATGATCACATCATTTGGTTTCTCAGAATGGTAGTATCTAGGGAGTTCCAAAGTTATATAGTGTTTTTGACTGCCCCTTTAAATTTAGTAGGACATGCTGTTTGGCTCTCACTGTAGTATCTGTGGGGAAGTTTGATTACTGTAGCTATCTGGTCTACGTATGTTGATTACAAATGCCACAGTGGTGCCTTTTCAGTATTGGTCTTTTGGATTGCCAGACCTTTTCTTATTCCCTCCTGATGTTCATTGATGTGCATTTGTTTTCCATGATTATCTCCTGATGTTGTTGATAGGTAGTTGGTTTTGGCAAACCTCATTAATTATTTCTAACCCACAGACAATGTGATATATGTAACTTACAAGAACTCTTTTAAGTTTATCCCACCTTATCTATACAGCTTTTCCACGTCCTATTGTTGAAGTATCGTGGATAAACAATGTTGTTGACATTTGTTTTTTTTTTTTAATGATGCTAGGTATGATCTACTTTGTCTAGAGGGGCTTGCTCAAGCCCTCCGGGTTTTCAACGGGAAGGAAGGAACTCCTGCATACACCCTAGCAAGCATTAGCAAGGAATCAATGCTGAAGATCCATGTACACAAGGAGGTAGTTTTTGGCTGCTTGTACCTTTTTTTGGTTTACATTTTCTTGAGAAAGGCAATGCATGAGCTTTTGGTGTCCAATTTTATCACCCACTAATGTGTGCACACTTTATCCCTGCTATAGACGTCCAAAATTCGGCCGTATGTTGTTTGTGCTGTTTTGAGGGATATCAATTTCGATGAAGCCAGTTATAACAGCTTCATTGAACTCCAGGACAAGCTTCATGAGAACATATGCAGGTATTATCATGAGTAAACTTGTGTGGTCTTCCTTTATTTGACCTTGTCTCATTTAGAAATGGACCACATGTTTAGGCGAAGAACTCTCGTCGCAATTGGTACCCATGACCTGGACACACTTCAAGGCCCATTCACTTATGAGGTTTGTTTGCAGTAGTTAGTTTCTGAATGGAATTGTTATATTTGTGTGGCTTGAATAAATTTTAGTAGCTAGAAGTATGGAATTTTCATGTCATGTATTAATTAAAGCAGTCCATTTTGACTTTTTATTTAGTCAATATGAATCAGTCTATGGATCAACTAAAATCTATGGCTGGCAAAGCTTGGTGATGGTCCTGATTTTGTGATCCATGCCTATTATGTCATGTGATGATGCTGATTGGAAGCATTTCTTTGTTTCCAGGCCCTCCCACCAGAAAAGATAAACTTTGTACCACTGAAACAGGTGAGCTTTTAGGAATTCATCTGATGTTAATTTAGAGTAAATTATGCTACTATGCAATTAATCAATCAATGATTGATGATTAGAAGGTTTGAACATTCTAGCCTCAGTGCTACTATTCTTCTTTTGAACTCCTATTGTCGCTGTTGCCAACTTGCTGAAGTTGTACAGGCTTATAGTTTGTAGTGCCTTGCCTTTGTTATCATCCGTCCCCTGAGAAGCTTAGTCTGCTTCAGAACCAGGTTCATATATGATGAAATCGTAGTCTCCTACCTTGTCCTACAAATAACTATTAATAAGTTAATTTTAAATTTTAATTTGTTTCGTTACCATCTCTGATTGTATGCTTCTTCTGCTGTGTGCAGCTATCCTTCAAGTTTCGATTTGTTATCTCTTCCATTATAATTGTGCTTATTCAGTTCTATTGACTTCAGGAGAAAAACTTCAGAGCTGATGAACTGATGGAGGTTTACAAGGTGATTTGGAAACTGAAGCATTTCAATTTTAATTAGACCACATTATGGGATATCACAAGACTGAAGAGGTATTGTCTCTTTCCTTTGAGTCTAACTACATGCCCTGATATGGAGAATATCTTTGCAGTCTGATTTGAAGCTGAAGAAGTATCTGCATATCATTGAGAACTCTCCTGTGTACCCAGTCATATACGATTGTAGAAGGTAAATCCCTGTTTCCTTTGATAACATTAACTTAGTGGAAGCATAGCCATTAAGTTGTTTATTTGATGAAATCTCACCCATGGGTGCCTGGGTGGATAATGTATATTGTGTGTGTCAGTTATCCTCTTCATCTCTTCATGCAATTGCTTGTATAAAATACTTAGGCTCCTCATTGGTTGCTTGCATATGTATCTTATATCACCTAACAATGCTATTTCTTTCCCATTGATTTAATTCAGAGTTCTTTATGCAGAACTGTCTTGTCTCTTCCTCCCATCATTAATGGTGCACATTCGTCTATCACTTTAAAGACGAAGAATGTATTCATAGAATGTACAGCCACTGATCTGACAAAGGCCAAGATTGTTTTGAACACAATGGTTTGGCATCTTAGTTCTGGTTGCATTTTCTTCCTTGGGTTTTGTTTCAAATGTAGCAAACTGATGCTTGATGAATGCCATTTACCCCTTTGTGATCAGGTGACAGCTTTTTCATTGTATTGTCGGAATAAGTATGAAGTTGAACCAGTTGAAGTAGTATATGATGGTGGGAAGTCATTAATATCCCCTGAATTATCTGAATACAGTATGGAAGTTCCTCTTTCATACATCAGTCGCTCAATTGGAGTCTCTTTGAAGGCAGACGAGGTACGCAGTTTTAATGGCCACATGGACTCTTCAGTGATTTTTGGTGGTTTTTTTCTTTCTGAAATTGAAATAAACGAAGTACATTGTTAAAAAAAAAGTCAAACATGAAAGTTACTTGAGCAATGACTATTAGCTAAATCTATTCTGGCGGCATGTTTAGACAAGACCGTCGTGGGAGAATTGTATATCCACTGTTTTAGAATTTAATTTCGTCTTAATGGAGGGTTCATTTTAGGAATTTGGAGCTCTGAAAGGAGACTCTAATGTAGAATAGTTGCAGTGCAAACAGCCAACACATTTTAGTTAAAAATCTAAGCTGTTTGTCACACAAAAGGGTCATGCTCTTTGGCATTGCATTTTCTGAGGATCAGGTATGCATGATTCAAGAAGCTGTTGCTACAGTGTGTTATGGATAAATGAGGTTGGACTTGTATTGTAGTGGGTAGCGGAAGAAACCACGTACTAGGTCTAGTTGGATACAGGTACACCGTAGAGTGAGAGGGTCGCATATATTTCTTCGTTGGTGCTAAAGTATTGAACCCCTAAATGGAAAGTCATAGTGGCCCCTCTTTGCCATCAGGTTGCTAGCCTGTTAAATCGGATGCAGTTGCGTGCTGAGAAAGGCGCATCTGGTGGTGAACAAAATATCAAAGTATCAGTACCGCCTACCAGAAGTGATGTCCTTCACCCCTGTGATGTTATGGAAGTAAGTACAACTATGGTGGTGTGTATTTTTATAGAACCAATGAATTATCTTACTCCCTTCTGCTGAGCACTAGCTGTATCTTCTTTTCAAGGATGTTGCAATTGCTTATGGTTATAATAACATACCCAAGACAAAGTTTCCATCTTCCGAGGTGGTGTCCTTGATTGAGCTTGAGGATCTTCTCAGATTGGAGGTACTTAATTTTCTCATGTGCTTATTTACACATCATTCTGCATACTGCATCTGTTTGTTTATTTTCTCCCCCACCAACTCCTTCCCCTTCTCTATTTGGATGAAAGTTTTTCTGACTTACAGTATATTGCCTCTTAGGTTGCAATGAACGGATTCACAGAGATCAAGTCATGGATTTTATGTTCTTACCAAGAGAATTTTGCCATGTTAAACCGGACTGATGATAAATCAACAGCAGTTATTATTGCCAATCCCCGTTCCGCTGATTTTGAGGTTTGTATTCACCTCCAGCTTGATTACTCTCTGCTCTTTTCTTTTCCCTAGATTTTAGACTCTAGGTGGTCTGTGTTAATGTTCTCTATGTTAAGGTCTCAAGGAGCTTACAAATATGCATGTATAAAGCAGCACTCTTTCTGTTCAGCTGTTGAGTTCTTGCTTAGACTTCCATAGTTGGATATACATTTCCAACTTCGATTTGATGAACTTTTCACGTGAAGTGTTTTGTGTCTTATTGATAAGCTTTCACATATTTTTCTTCTCATTAATGTTTTCTGTCTGCTCAGTTGATCCATCTCTAGGGTTGCTAGATCTTAAAATTATTTTCCAAATGTGTTGGTTGACATACTGACTCTGAGTATGGTGTTTCTGTTTGATTTGATAGGTTGTCCGAACCACCCTCATGCTTGGAGGACTAAAAACTATCGGAAAAAACAAAAACAAGTCCAAACCCATTAAGGTACCTTTATATTGCACTCTGCTTTGCAAACTAACTTATTGTCCACTGTAATTGTCCGCAAGGACTTGGACATCCAACGGTATTGTGAAGAAGAATACTAAATACTTACATTCATCATTTATGCAACATGGTAAGTCAGATAGCCTAGTTTAGCTGACAGTGATTCATGGTGGCTGCAGCTTTTTGAAGTGAGTGATACGGTACAGCTGGATGGTACTAAAGATGTTGGCGCAACAAATGTTCGGCGTCTTACAGCTCTGTATTGTGGTACTAATTCAGGATTTGAGGTAACTAATGTCTTGATCATCTGTGTTATGAAATGAAGTTATTACCTTGTGAGTTTTTCTGTGATGGTTGATACAAACGAATGTATCACTAACAAAAGCAATGATGTATTACTGTTTGTTGAAGCTGCTGGAATGTTCAGGTTATATGTTTTGGACAGTTTTTGACTGGCTGATTTACTACAGTGCATTAGTTTTAACCTGGAAGCTTTCTGTTGATTGAAGCTAGCTGAGGCATTGTTTTGCAGAGGATTCATTCATTGCTAGACAGAGTGATGGAAGTGATGGCAACTCCATTTGTACCAATTGGTGACTCCAGTGGGTACTACATACAGAGATCTGATCATGTGAGTACTCTTCATTAAGCATTAAGCTGCAGTTCCTAGGCGATTTTGTCTGCTACTACTTTGTAAGGTCTGATCTAATTAACTTGGTGATGACATATCCTGGACGAAGGCACGTGAATTCCTTCCTGATAGACAAGCTAGCATCATTTACAAAGGAAAGCACATTGGCATGTTTGGTATCGTGCATCCGCAGGTACCTTCTTGCTAGATCTGATCAAAATCATCCTGTGCTTTTGCTGATTACTATGGGCTGCTATCAGTAGACATTTCCGGGATTGGTTTGATGGTGTTTCCATTCTTGGTTCTGTAGGTGCTGAAAAATTTTGACATCCCGGATCCGTGTTCTGTCTTAGAACTAGACATCGAGCCTTTCTTACAAGCTTGATGAGTCATCTTGAGAAGCGTGAGTAACTCACAACTGTTGAGACTTTCATTCGGCGAAGTCGAGACGTTCCATTTGCCGCTCTGAAAATTGGGTGGGCTCTTAGCAGCAGGTGTATCAACGTTTCATCTAGCTAGACGGTTTACACCATTTTGGGTGCGAACTAGAATTCAAGCCGTGGATGATTTAGGGACCACAATTTTTGTAATAAAAACCGTGGGCACTCTTCAACGTTGGTGTTTGTTTGGTAGTTGGTGGCCCATTTTTGTTTTACATACCAAATGACTTTCGGATGTAACTTGGCGATGACGGGTGACGGAGCGTCTTGTCGCGGACGGTGATGACGTGCATGTATTGTGTGGTTAGTTATGGTGTTTTGTTAGTATTATTAGTCTAAAATTAATGTTTTATTAGCAGTTTTGTTAGTAATATTGATTTTAATATTGACTGAGAATAGATATATGGCGGTCAACATTCAATTTAATTTGTTTTGAAAAATTTGGCTAATAAGAAGTAGACCCATTGATTATAGGTAGGGATGACAATGGTTCGGGTTGGGTTTAAAGCCAAACCCAAATTCAAATCCATGGGTTTATTCGTGAAAAAAATCGGGTAGTTATCACAAATGGTCACAAACCTATTCACTTTGTACAAAATGGTCACAAATCTTTAATTTTGCATGTTTCAGTAAAATAAGTTTGAGTGAATAACAAAAAGGTCAATCCGTCCACTTCCATCCAAAATTCTGTTAGTTTTGCCTAGTCAACATGACACGTCACTAAAAATATTAATAAAAAAATTATTGAATCATTCGAATTAACCCGCACAACCCTAATCGGTTCACTAGTTCTGTAACCACCCGCCGTACCCAACCCTTCCTATCTCGTGCCCTTCATCCCGTCGACAGTTGTGGTTTCTCTCCCTCTTCGTATACATCCCGGGGATCATCTATACCATCTACGCAATCACCAAATGATCCGTCTTGATCTCCAAATCCACCGGCTACCATCATTATTCATCAATTTGTTGTCTTCTCTCCCAGGCTCCCTGATTCCTCAACCACACAGATGGCCGGAGAGCTCAATTGCCACCACAAATGAATTATAATATAATATTAGTTAGATTTATGATTAATCAAATCACGATGGCGCTGCTGATTGAGTAGGAGAACGGCTGCGCGGAGGAGTACATGTGGGCGGTGGAGGCAAAGCTCGGCGAGCTTCACTGGAGGAAACCCAAATCAATTGAAGTGGTCCCCCATCTCTCCTTCGCTGTCTACCACTGAATTGAAAAAATAAACTATTTTTTGAAGTGGACGTACGGACGCCGCTTCTATCTCCTGCTGTTTCCCGTCTCTAGTGAAGCAGAGAAGAGGAGTGGAGCAGTGGCGGCGACTGGACTAGGAGAGAGAAACCGCGGCGGGCGTCGGAGGTATGAAGGGTACGAGACGAGAGAGGAAGGGGTGGGTATTATTGTGCGGTCGAGTGGTTAGATAGCTTGTGAATCGGTTAGGGTTATACGAGTTAATTTGGATGCTTAAATGAATTTTTTATTAATATTTTTAATGACGTGTTGGGCAAAACTAACAGATTTTTGGACGGAAGTGAACGGATTGACCATTTTGTTATTCACTTAAACTTGTTTTACTAAAACGTGCAAAATTAAAGATTTGTGACCATTTTGTACAAAGTGAGTAGGTTTGTGACCATTTGTGATAACTACCCGAAAAAAATCCGGGGTAAAATTCACTGGGTTTGAAAAACTCAAATTGAACCCAACCCGCTGGGTATTTGCGGTTTCATGGGTACCCATCGGTTTTTGTCGTAAAAAATTTACAATAACAATATCAAACTCTCAATACAAATTATCCATATATAAAACACAATTCTAGAAAATTCAAGCAAATCACAAATTAACCATACAAATTGTTTAACACCAATCTAGAAAACTCAAGAAAATTGAAGCAAATCACAAATTATCCACAAACCTGGCAATCGGGTTGGGTTGGGTAATTTCGGGTTAGGGTCTTCGGTTACGGGTCCGGTCATGTTGGGTTGACTGATTTTGGGTCAAATATTGACCCAACCCATTCTGTTTCGGGTCGGGTTACAGGTTGTTTAGGGTTTTGAGCGCTCTCAGAAACAATATCAAACATGCTTCATATTTTCTTAAAGAACACAAATTTTTTACATATGCATGACAATAGTTTACCTAACACACGTCAATTAACACATTGTCAAATCCTCCCATGCTAATGAAATGAAATACAAATTGCACAAATCGTCAAAAAACAATCACAAGAGTAATAATACTATAAGAAACATATGATATTTGATTATCCTTAAACTCCACATGCCATTCAAATCCTTGTAAATTATATTAAACATCTCACCAATTTATGAGTGATTTTATCATTTTGTGAGTGATATATAAAAATGAACGGGTCGACCCGCTAACCCACCCAACCCGACCCAAAAAATCACGGGTTATCGGGTTTGGGTCATTCGAATTTCGGGTTATAAAAACTTCTACTTTTCGAGCGGGTTCGGATCGGGTTAACGTGTCGGGTTGTAATTTGCCAGCTCTAATTATCCATAAACAACATGATTAATTGAAAGCTTTTTCCTCCTTGTCAATTAAACTTCTTCACTTTCTATTCGATAATATCAACTTCATTCTACACAATTAGAAAGAAAACATTAGACATGTCTCCACAAACATAAAGAAGATTAGTTGTTTAGAATATTAAATATACCGGAAAATTAATTATATGAGTGTGGGCGGGTACCCATGGGACGGGTTTACCTAACCCAACCGGGTGAATAGTGAACGGGTTTAAACCCAAACCCGCCCCAAAACCCGTCAACACGGGTTTTACCCGCGTTGACCGAGTTGGGTTGGGTGGGTACCCGTGGGTTCGGGTTTTGTTGCCATCCCTAATTATAGGTAGGGTATGAGTGACCTATATATATGAGTTTGTAGATGGATTTGTAGATGGATTTGGGTAGGGTATGAATATTTACTTTCATAATCTAAATGTGTATGAGTTGGGTATGGATAGCCATTTATTCGAGGGTGTTTTAATTACACATACAAAAATTAGACTTATTTGTAGAACTTCAAAATTTTAGGCACCAACAAAATTTTAGGTGCTAAAATGTAATGTTCCATCAATATTCAGAGGCTTATATATGTAAAAATAAATAAATTTAGGTTATAAATCTAAAGATCTATTAAGTTTAGGTATTTAAGATGATAATTGTTTACTTTTTTTTTATAGAAAAATGAAAACTATTTATTTAATATGTGTAAATACCTAGCCAGACATTCCATGTATAATTGTTAAAAATTCTACCCCAGGTGAAAAAGAAAAACTCTAGAGAGAAGCAAAAGGATTGCAAAGTGGAACTTGCTTTAAATTTCACGCCTTCAAATCCCGTAGCGGAAAATGACGACTTTCTAATAAGTAAATAACCATATATATTTATTTTTAATTGGACTCGACTTTGAGCTGAAAAAGTTAGTGGTTCATGGTTCAATCATTAATTCTCTAGACTGTTGGTGAGTCGTGTATGGACTCGTTCATACTTGGTATTAGAATACATAACAATAGTATACTAATTAGGGTTATAGAAGGCGAGTGAAAAGTGGAACAAAGAGGAAGTAGATGATGAAAATGATTGGTGAATTGGATTCATGGATTCAAGTGAAATCTAAATATTGGACCAATTTAAAAAATTGTAGGTATGAAAATCTCATAAAATTTAGATACCAAAACATAATTGTTCAATAATTTATTAATTTTACATTAAAATTATATTTGGGGTATCACAATGTAAAATGTATATTATAGTGACTAAGTTGTAATTTAAAAAAATTTAGGGTATCAAAATGTTATTGTTTATGCAACAGTAACCTTACTTAAGGTTTATCTATATTAATTAAAGTGTTGTGTAACGATTGTTGTGGTTCCAATCTCTATTTTATTTGCACTATTTCGTAGGGTAATTGCAAGTGAATCACTGGAAGTGCTAAACTATTCACGTTTGGTTACTAAAAGAATTTTATTCCATTTCAATTTTAACTTGTCACGTCATAAAACTCGATCTGTCATGTCAATTTTACCCGCATGTCAGATTTCTCCAACCCAACTCATAATCCGACCCTCCTGATTGAACTGCCTGACGTAAAACTCCAGTGACCCAAATGAAACCCCATTATGACACACCCTTCCTAGTCCTTCTCCACCGCCATCGACCTCCGACACACCCTTCCTAGTCCCTTCTCCGCCGCCATCGACCTCTAATCCCTGCCTAGCCATCAATCATTGCAATGGGATTCAACAACACTGATACAAGCACGAATCTGGCACCCGTAGTTATCAAAGTAATACAACCACAGTCTTTTTAGGGTTGCTGATATTTTCTCAACAACACGAAAAATAAAGGAATAGAGTGGAATTGAAGTGCCATCTCACACCTGTGAGAAGGCTCTATTAATATAAGGGCAGAAGCTCGACCCCAATCAAGATGAATTCTTGATTGATATAGAGACATACTTACGCAATTGGAGTCCACCAACGACGAGAGCAAATTCACAAGCACACACTCTATAAACAAAAGGTTTTAATTCCTCAAAATCTTCTAAAATTCGTAGGTCTTACACCCTCTATTTATATAGGTAAGAAAAACCTAAAATAAACCTTCTAACAAATAAGAAAACAAGTCTCAAACTGTTATGAATAATTGTCCCAAATACGAGAATAAACAACACCAACACGAAGAAGAAAAGCAAGTATAACACCGCTTTTATTCTATACTCTCATAGATCGATTCATTGAATCAAGGAAGAGAATACATATGTAGAGAGGAGGAAGAAGAGAAGATGTATCTTGCATTGTATGGTTGAACTCCTTTTATAGGAGTGAGATTTAGGCATTGGGTGGACAGAATCAACCCATTTGCACTGGCACTCATCCTTCCATCAACAACATGTGGGTGGGTGAAAGGTGGGTGGACATCCACATAATCATCATTTATAATACTCCTCCTTGGATGTTCATTAGTAAAGAACATGTCTCATTATAACCTTATTAGGAAAAACCTTGTGAGATAAAAACCTAGTAAAGGAAAAAGAGTACATGATCATATTGTTACACTTTTGGATACTGTCTCATTAAAAACTTTATAAGGAAAACTTAGTGGAAAAAAACTTTGGTTAAGGGAAAAGAGTGCAGTGCTTAAACTCTTCCCCTCATGGAGAGATCTATCAGCAGTTTGAAGTTTTCAAAGTTCAATATCTTTTCACATGATGTTGTGATATGTAATACTATAATAGACAAATCTGTTGGATAGTCATTTAACAAACTTTGTTGGTTTCACAATTCTTGTGAAGTTCATGAGTGAAAATAAAACTTCACTAAAAATATTCTCATATATATCTTTTCAGAAGATATATGTAATATCACTTTCATATATGATCGTCTCGATCAATCTTTGAGAATA